AAGATATATTGAAGGCCACGATGCCAGCAGCTGCTTTCAGCAAATTAGAGATGATGGTTGGGATTCTTTGTTGCAGGCTGTGTAGTCATTTTGGGAAGAACATGGCATCCCCAAGTTGGATATGGGTCTATATTGACATCGATGGTTTCGATCGAACCTCTTATACCTACTAAATTTTCACCATGGAAGACCCCAATAAAAAAGAGTACGGCCCCATCAGCCTATTCGGCCCATCGTCCATCAACTTAACCACGCATATTAATTTAAAAGCAGTGGTGAAACCATCGATTTTGATTAAGGGGGCCGGATAAATATGATCATATTTTTTTAGTGTGATAAAATATACATAATTATATATTTCAACAACTTTTTAAAAAAAATACAATATTGATAACCAAAATCATAATATTTTAATAAAAATGAGTGAATATTGATATTTTTTATACTGTCAATTCAAATATTTATATTGATATTAAACAAAATCCGCCACTGATTCAAGGTGAATGAAGCTTGCACGTTCACGTTCAGGCTAATAAGCCCACCCTGAAGGCCTATTTTCCACTGCCCATGTCAATCCATCGTCCGAGTCTACAGCAGCAAACCATAAGTCCAATTCAGTCCAAACGCCGTCACCTCGACGCCTCCGACGCTACTCCCATCGCGAATCCACTGCAGCTGCACCTAGGGCGCCGGTGATCAACAGGCAGCAGGCAGGTCGCGACTCACTGGCGCCGGCGCCCAGTGGCAACCAGAATTTGTGATACCGCGACGCTCGTCAGGCACCGCGACATGCTCTCAGCTCTATGAACTCTGAATTTGGAGACAGGACATTCTCTGTGTCAGGTATTTATTTTAATCATATGTATGGCGGCTTGCACAAGAGCACATCAATATCTATCTACTTTAGTATTTAATTATGTGACTAATTTGATAGACAATCAATGCACATTGGACCGATTCTCATTATAAAACCCTCAAGAGCCTAAGCAATCTATTTCCTGAAGTTATTGAAGTGCTCCATTATGTCGAAAAGGATAGTCCAAATGATGCAAGAGACGCCAAGCTCGTGGTCTCCTAGACTACATTATGGTCTTGACTTTGTGTTCCGCTTGCACTTAATGATGCTTATTTTAGGACATGCAAATTCTTTGTCACTGTCCTTGCTGAGAAAAGATAAAGATATATTGGAGGTCATGATAGAGTTCCAAGCATAAATTTCAGCAAATTAGAGATGATGGTTGGGATTCTTTGTTGCAGGCTGTGTAGTCATTTTGGGAAGAACATGGCATCCCCAAGTTGGATATGGATGAGGACTATATTGATCGTCATAGGCTAAGAAAAAAAGACCAATCGAACCAACTATCAACATTACAGATATGATTGCTTCAATTCAATTATTGACTTGCAACGTGCAGAGTTCAATGATAATTTCAATGAGATAAACTCTCAATTGCTCACTCAGATTGCTGCTTTCAACCCCAATAATTCTTTTGAGGCTTTCAAATTTGAGAGTTTAATGGAGTTGGCTAAGTCATATCCTGATGATTTTGATTCAACACAACTAAGGAATCTTGGTCGTGAGCTTAATATTTATATTGACAATGTGCGAGCTGATGAAAGATTTGCCTACTTGAACACTATTTCCGAAGTTGCTAAGTTGATGGTGAGTACAGAGAAGCATCGGGGTTTTCCCTTGGTGTGTCGGCTTCTCAAGCTAGTACTAGTTCTTCTAGTTGCCATTGCATCGATGGAGGGAGGTGCTTTTCAGCAATGAAAATTATGAAGACAATACTACAAAATGTATTGGAGATGGATTTATGAATGATTATATCATATGCTTCGTGGAACAAGAATTTCTAGCCACAATTCCAATTGATGATGTGATTATTAACTTTCACAAGGTGGAGGACCATAACCGCATATCTAGGCTAAAGTGACCACACTACTAAGTGTCTTCATCAAAAACAAAATTTTCCTATATTTTGTACCTTTGCCTTGAGCCTTTTGCTTTTTTTTCTTCTTTTCATTCAAGCTTTGATCATTGCAACCTTATCACCATTGTCATGATCTTATGGGTTTGTCCCAACCCCACTTGGAAAAAAAAACTACCTATCTCATAATCATCTTGATAAACTAGGACTGAGCACTTAGGGTTTCATCAATTAACCAAACCAAACTAGAGCTTTCACGTCGGCCCTACCGAGCACGCGGTCATGCGTCACGCGTCATCTCCTAGCTGCGTCGCGATGCGATCATGCGACGGCTGGCTCCTAGCGTCGTTGCGGCGCCATGCCTCCTCCCCGCATTATGCGGTTGATGTCTTCCCACCAGCCGCGCGCCTCCACCAGTGCCGGCCGCCACCGGGCCGCTGCCTCCGGTGAACTCCACACGCCGATGAGCCTCCATTCTCTCGAGCATCAAGTGCATGTTGCAAGCGTATGTTTTAATTGTTTCATCTGTTTCAGAGATACTCCGTATGTTGCAAAGTGCTTTTATACAAATGTTACAAAAGTAGATCGGGATGTTGCACATGTTGCATATGTTGCAAGTGTTTCCAATAAATGTTCCAAGTGTATTGTTCTAAATGCTTTAGCTGTTTCAGATGTATGTTGCACGTGTTTTATCTAGGTGTTTTATATTTCACGCATATGTTGCAAGTGTTTCATCCGAATGTTACATATGTTTCACACGTCTGTTGTAAGCGTTTTTATCCGGATGTTGTATATATTTTAGCAATGGCTACACGCGTGTTTTCCTTGTGTTTCAGTCATAAGTTGCAAGTGTTTTAGTTGTTTCGGACGTATGTTGCAAGTGTTTTATCTAGATGTTGTAAAAGTAGATATGTTGTTACACATATTATAGTGGGACCCAGGTGTAGTTGTTGGCCCCGCCTGCATGCGTGTGGGTGTGGAGGGGGTGCTACGGCACGGGCACGGAACACGAGCAGCACAGGAAACGAAGTACGCGCGACACAGGCGCAGGACACGGTGCGGCATGGCCCCAAGCAGGCACAGCAGCCCTCGCCCTCGCTCGTAATCACAACTTCAACAGGAGAAGGAGATTAATCACAACTCCTGCCGGCAAGGCGGCAAGCGGCTACCTACGCAGGGTTTTGTCGTCTCAACTCTCAAGCGGCGCAGGACGGTTTTCGCTGAAGTCTGCGATGGAAACTGTTTTATTCGGATTGCTTATGCACTGGCGGTTTGCACGGCGCGCGGCCTATATGTATGCTCGTTGAATTCCCTTGGAACAAGCGGTTATTTTGTCAACGATCGATCATGTTCTTGGTTGCCCTCTGCGTTTCAGCTTCCGACCGAAAATCCGAAATGCTCAGATTGAACCGACCTCTGCTTTGTCATCACAAGTCCCTAGGCCTCGCCTGCTGTCCTGCTTCAGCTTCACCGTGGTCGTGTGATGAGATCCCCATACACAAGCCGCCCGTCGCTGGAAGAAAACGATTCACATTTGGTTGCCTACTCCAACCCTTTCTCATCAAACCAGCTCTGCTAACAACTGAATTCCTGCTTAATTACCAACAAGTATTGGGTTTCTACTTTATGTCCGACAGTGACTGCCCAGTGCCCACTAGTTGTTCTGCCATTTCCTCTTGAGTATTTATAAATGGTCTCACACTCATCTTTGTACTACTCGTATATACATGAATTCACTGTTGCAAACATATTTTACACTGTCGTTGTAAAAGTACTATTCTGAATGAAGGACAGACCACTGGACCACTCGAGCAACAGTCTGATTGCTGGGGGGATGAACGTGACCAACGATGATGCAATCAGCTATTCAGCCACAGATATTTCCCCGCCGCCCCAAACACGAACCGCCGATATTTCGCGTGCCCCCACCCTAGAGACTACGCGAAAATCATACGACACAACCTTTGTTCCTGAGGTGTTGATTTCAACAGCTAAGGGCCCCCAAATCATCTTTTCGATGGCGACTCGTGTGGCCTTGCGCAGTGCTTGCCGCGACGTGGAGGCTAAGCCGATGATGGAGTCTTCCCCCTCGCCGCCGCGTCAGCGACTCCAGGTGGAAAGCCAGTAGAATTATTGCCGATGGTTCTGCCACGCCGGCGACGAAGATACGGTCAGGCTCGGCCACGTGCATTCGCCTGCGGGACCAAAACGGCTCGCGTGAACATGACCAGTCCCGGTTCCTTGTCAACTATGCAAACCTCGTGGTCGTGTCGTGGCTGCTCCGCAACCACTGACCGTTGCCCGGTTGCATAGCTGGCGTTGGTCAACTGCCATTGGAGCCTTTTCTTTTCCTCCTTGTCCTTTGAAAAGTGAAAACGAAGGAGAGGTGTGTACTATTAGCCTGTTTGGTTTTGGTTTGGGGACGGTGTATTTTCAGGAGCGAGTACCTCCTAGAGGTTTGCCTGCTATTGGTCCATGCAAGTGCTAGGAGGATTGTATCCATGAATCATGAAGGATGGCTCGAATCCATGAGGCAGACCACACGGCTTGATCAGCTTCGGTTCTTGGATGAGACGGCGTCCTTCCTGCAAACCATACAGGCTTGGTTTCTGGCATACAACGTGCGCCGCAACTCGAACATTGATTTGGATGTGATTTGAGCTCTGAAGGTTGTCCTGGCGCGAAACCCAGGCTCATGAACAGAGCAGGAGAAACAAAATCGTACGTGACCATGTAAAAGAAGATATCAGAGTCTCAGAGAGAACACAAGGCCAAAACATGGCAACCTCTCATGTGTCATCATCATCATATATACAACACCAAGAAGAAGACAGGATACAGAAGAGAGACCACCACAGACCACACATATATGGCGATGCTGCCTGCCATCACCCTCACCCTCACCCTCACCCTACCGTCGTCTACTAAGCTCTGATCCCATGTCTGCACGGGCCGGCTCACAGGCACCACGACTGAACCACGCTCGCTACGCCTAGGAGGTATCTACAACCGGCCGAGAACCGCGACGGATGCTCGGATACAATCCAAGCAGAGGGCTGCGAGGCTCTGCTACTCCGCCACCGGGACCGGGATGGCGCTCCCGGCACGGCGGAGCGGCGAGAGAGAGCGCGGGGCTCGCCACGCCACCCCGCCGGCGGCGGCGGGCCTGGTCTCCAGCAGGCGCAGCTTCAGGAGGCGCTCCCTGGCCTCGTCCTCCTCCTTGATCCGCCGCACCTGGCTGTGCACCAGCAGCACCTCCTGCTGCTCCACCTGCTCCTTATTGACGCCCGCTCCCGCTCTTCCGGCAGCACCTTGCTCTTTCTCCTCCATCGGAACAAACGCCGATCTTGCCATCAACACACACACACAGGCGATCGATCAACTAGACGATCGAGGTTTCGTTGAATCGGTCACACGGTACCTACGAATGGCTCCGACTCTTTCTTGCTGGTGACTCGGTTGTCGCTATATATAGCGCTGGAGACTGGAGAGGAGGAGAGAAGGTCACACGGTACCTACGAAGGGCTGCGAGGCTTGGGTTTGGCTTCTCGATTTTTTGGCAGGAAAGCGATGGATGGGGAGCAACGAGGAAACGTGGGGTGGCTTCCCAGCAGTCGTCCGAAACAGAGTTGCGAAAGGAACGCCACGCCGAACCGTCGACAGGCCTTTCAAGGCAGGAATTAATTGTGCTACACTAGATTTTCCCCCTCGTCTTTTCTTTCTTTTCATTTTTTTTCCAACAAAGTTCCTTCCATTGATTTTTGATTGACGCGTCATAAGCACGGAAATCTGCTTCATTAATACAGTTTTTTTTAAAAAACAAAGAAAACAAAAGCTGAAATCCAGCAAAAGTTAGTGGAGGTTTGCGTTGTGACTATCCACAACGAGGTGGATGGAGGTGGTGAACAAGTAGCAACAAGATAAGGCTCGGCTCCGATGCGTTTGGCCATTTCCCTGCACTTTCATGTGCCTGTGAATGTAGAACGCGTGGCGTGATCCAGAAGCAGTCTAGCTAGACAGTTAGGGCAACCACCACTCTCAGGGCAGTCCCAATGGTGTATTGATGATGGTTTCTATTCTCATTAAATGACTTGTCACGTAGGCAAAACGTTAACATGGCAACGTAATTAATGAAGAAAGAGAGCAAAAATCCTAGAAATGGTTTTCTCATGAAGAAATCAGGTCTTCTCTTGACCCAATGCACCAAAAAACCATGAAATCGCCATTGGGGAGAAACCACCAGTTTCTAGTGGGCTCGTGCCACACTCTCATGGGAGGAAGAAGATAGAGTTGGGAGAGAGAAAGAGAAAATAATTATTACTCACAGAAATCATGAGTTAAAAAGCAGTATTTTTTTTGCGGTATCCTATGTTATAGAAACTATTAGTTTTTTTATTGGGAATACCCTCGCTCCACTTTTAATTTGCACAGTATGACGCTCTTTTCAGAAGTTGTCGTAGCTTTGTCTGCAGCAGCGTCTCTCGTACTACCACCACTGCTTTTCATGTTGACTTGGCGCTCTCTCACGGTCTCATGTTCACAAAGACAAAAATGCCCGGGCGTTCACCGAATCGGCGCCGCCGAAAACACTGTAGTTACACTGTAGTGCAATGTAGCATTTCATTTGTATTTTATAATAATTATCTAATCGTTGATTAATTAGGCTTAAAATGTTCGTCTCGCAAAGTACAACCAAACTATGCAATTAGTTTTTGATTTCGTCAATATTTAGTACTCCATGCATATACCACAAATTTGATGCGACGAAGAATCTTCTTTTTTCATAGCGTTAAAATTAGGAATTTAGGAGGAACTAAAAACACCCCCGGTCAGAGGGACGGCTTCCATCGTTGCTTCTTCCACATGACGAGATAGTAGCGCTACTCGGTTTCCTTACGAAGGCCTCGTTTAGACTGTCTTCAAATTCCAAGTTTTTTCGCTCTCTTTTCATCACATCAATTTTTAGACACATGCATGGAGCATTAAATATAGGTAAAAAAAAATTAATTATATAGTTTGGTTGTAAATCACGAGACAGATCTTTTGAACCTAGTTAGTCCATGATCGGACAAAGTTTGTTAAATACAAACGAAACATGCTACAGTGTCCAGATTGCAAAAATTTGCAATCTAAACCAGGCCTAAATCCGGCCGGTAAGGCAAGAACTCTTTCAAACACAAACGCGGTGCACTTGCTTCAGTTTTCTGCATATATATATGGACCGGGAATCCTTACGCACCGTATGAATAAACTTTAACAACCCAGATTGAAAGATCGAAGAAAGAACTTAGAAAAGATTAACTGGTTGAAAAGGAAAGCTTTTATCAGTTGGCGGCATATTAGTTCAGATCAGTTCAGTTTTGTCTAGTTTATCCATGTTTATATTCTCATTCTTTAAAATTTCTAGAGGGGTCTTAATACGATAACGGAGTATGGTCCTGTTCGCTTGCTTTATAATCCGTACTTTGCAGCTTGTTTTTTCAGTCGGAACAGTGTTTTTCTCTCACAACAAATCAGCCGGATAAAATGTTTTGGCTTATTTTTTCAGCGAAGCGAACGGGGCCTATGTCATGTTTTATTTTGGGGAAAAAACAATAAGCACAAAAAGATATATAGATTAATGAAAGTGACACTTCTTTGTCACCCAAAGGATCAAGGTGGGATGGGGATGGGAGATTCACATTTTTTTTTGGTGAGCCTAACAATGAGATTGGCAACTAGTTCCTAAACTTAGGAGTGCTTTAAAGTAAACAATGGTACACAAATCAGGTTATAGAAAGATAAATATTTGGAAAACCAGCAACTAAAATAACAGAAAATATGACATTTGAAATTATCTTTGAAAATTAAAATTTTCATGTGATTATTACAAAAGAGGTGATCCAAAGATAATCTTGCTATAAGGAATTAGAAAAGGGAGTAAAATGTGCTGTTATTTTTTATGTAACGTAGAAACCATCTGTTGCATCTTTTTTTAATGTTGATATGCTAAGTTTTGTTGGTATGCTATACATATTGTGTTTCGAAGTACACCTCCACTTAATATAGAAGAACAGTATATATAACTAGAAGAACACCCCATGTATTGCTGCGGAAATCGCAGATGAAATTAAATCAATTATATTTACTTATATGAACGAATAAATATCATAATGCATGTGAGTGCACATTGATGTAGAAAACTAAATATATGTTAGTGAATGATGTGGTTTGTTGATGTCAATAGCTTGAATGAAGACATAGTTGCATATGCTAGTGGGATGTTCTAGTGGATGATGGTGTGGATAGCTTGCATGGCGAGATAGAATGCTAGTGAGAATTGAAAATATAAGATATATAGCTCCATCCTAAATTATAAGTCCCTTCATCTTAAAGAGTTAAAGCATCTCAAGTTTGACCAAATTAATTTATATAATAAAATAATAACATCTATGAAACCAAATAAGTATCATTAGATTCTTCATTAATTGTATTTTCATAGTGTATGTCTATTTGATGTCATAAATCTTTATAATTCTTTTTATAATTTTGGTCAAACTTGAAATATTTTGACTTTTTAATAAAGTTGGAATGAATTGTAATTTGGAATGTAGGGAGTAGAATATAGAATATCGGTTATGCTCCCGAACTGACGGTAAAAATGCTTTTCGCAGCCGGGTTGTGAAAAGACCAGTGGCCCAGAGTAGATCCTAGACTAAACTTTAGTCCTTATCACATAAGATGTTTAGATGTCAATTAGGAAGACTAAACATGAGCTAATTATAAAACAAATTGCATAAGCCATGACTAATTCACAAGACAAATTTATTAAGCCTAATTAATCTATAATTATCATATGTTAACAGTAGCATCACATTCGCTAATCATAGACTAATCAGGCTTAATATATTCGTCTCATGAATTAGTCTTTGTTTATACAATTAGTTTTATAATTAGTCTTTATTTAATACTCCTAATTAGTATCAAACATCCGATATGACAGGGATTAAAGTTCAGTCGCTAGCAACCAAACATTAGAACATCCTCACTGTTTATTTTGATAGAATAGACAAAAACAGCTATTTGATACAGTGCATTGAGAAGCCACAGCTGAAGTCGTCCTGAGCTTTACTAAATGGGCCATAAACACACACATCACATAGTTCACTGTTCTGGTTACTTACAACTCAAAGGTCCTATTTGCTTGTCTTATAAGCCGTACTATTTCAGCGAACGAATGTTATTTTCTTATAACAAGTTAGCGAACAATGCTTTCAATTATGACTTTTCAAAGAAGTGAACAGGCCAAAATCTCAAATGCAACTCTAAAGTGCAGACACGGTCACACACTCACGTAGACACAGTTTAATAATCCAGAATCTCCTATTCACTCCCATGAAACAAAATCAGAAAGGTAGCAAGGCGGTAAAAAACAGGAAATATGAAAAATGGCTTAAAACACTATTTTTCCCACTTTACGTTTTTTCACCATGTTTCTATTTTCTGTTAAAAAAAACGAAAATAAGACGTAGAAAATGAGACGAGACGGAAAAGCCATTTTCACCTCTATCTTTATCTCTTCTCTATCTCTACATCTCTATCTACAACTAAAATATATGGATTGTTAACGTCTACCTGGCAGGACCAAACACCCCTCAATACAGGTCCACCCGACAGCATCAAAAACTTCCCATATAATCGCTTCCCTACCGGCGCAATTAAAGGAAAGAAACCCAGAATGGAAGGCAATGCCGTGCTTGAGGAGGGAAAACGAAAATTAATATGGAAGGTAATGCCGTGATTGACTAATTGAGGATGGGAAAAAAATTAGACCATAATTGGAAATGCAATGCTGTGATTTTCTCGTTGCAACGCATGGGCACAATCCTAGTCTACGGAAAAAAAAAAATCCGAGGGCTTAAAACTGGGATGTACATAGATGGTCCAGAAATGCCCAAACGGGCCGTACAGGGGCAATGCAAAGCAGAGTCGTGTTGGGGCACAACCGCACAACAGAATGTTTTTGATTGGATATCGATCGACTCAGTTGGGTCGGCCCAATCTGTATCGACTCGATGGGTGTACGTTCCGGCGCGAGGAGCCTTTGGGCTTGCGACGTTTTCCCCTCACTCGGATCCGAGTCATCAATAACTATCACAGACCGCTGACGACGATTACGGAGTATAGAGAGCAGTAGACGCAGCCAAGGCAGCTACGGTCTACGGTCTTTGGGTTCGTACGACGCATCGCTCGGGAGTCTGTCCTTTACTCCTGTACGCGTTCTCTCGCTGTCGCCGACTGAAAAGAAGGAAGCGCCCACGAAAGAAACGGGCCGGGCTAGCCAGGCCGCCGCACTTCCCGGGGAGACCGGTTCAACGACAGAGCCAGCCCGCAGAATCAGTGTGTATGCCGTGTGCAGCCTGCCGCTAAAGATCGCACAGCAGCGACACACGCCGTCCATATCACCACTCTTGATCGACTCGCCGGCCGTTTCACTACCAGTCTACCACCACGCAATCAGTAGCTCGCGCCGCCCGCGGTGCATCCAACCAGAACCAGTGTGTATGCCGTGTGCAGCCTGCCGCTACAGTTACGCCGCCGCCTGTAGCTGTAGCAGTGTAGCTAGCATCCCGTGTCGCCCCCAGCGGCTATCAGTTGCGACGACGACCGGGGCAGGCGGCTATCTGTGCCGACTGCCGAGTCAGACCGGGGTTTATTAGTCACAGTCACAGCTCTTGTATCCTTTTTCTCCATCTCTTCGTGCAGCAGACGCCGTCTCCGGATCCTCAAAGACGTCCAAATGGAAAGCGCCCCGGCCGTGGCCGTGTTTGTTCCCGCCACCAGCTAGCTAGCGCTGCGATCGAGCTGCAGCCACCATCTATCTATCCATCTCCTTCCGTCGAGCTGTAACACATCGGCGTCTGAAAGAAATGTAATCAACGCGCGACGCGATCGCGTATCGTCTCCTTCCTGCAAAACCCCGGCCGCTACCTTCCACACCACCACGTTCCTGTCACCACCGTTGCGGCCAATCCGGGCGGAGCTATATCAGGTCTCTGGACCACTGCGACTCCATCGCGTAACGAATTCTCCTCCCTGTCGCCGCACTGCTCCTGCGCAGACGACGTACGTACGCAGCGCGCAGCCCCTTGCACCGATCGATCACTATCCACTCGCCGGTGCCGGCAAATGCGGTGGGCGCCCGGCGCCAGCGCCGGCCGGGCGGTCTACGTCGTCCTCGTCGCGTCGCTGTGGTGCGCCTCGCTCGTCCCGCGCGCGGCGCCGGCGGACCTCGCGGCGGACCGGGCGGTGCTGCTCGCGTTCCGGACCGCGGTGGGGACGCGGCTCCCGTGGGACGCGGCGTCGCCGTGCGGGTGGCGTGGCGTCAAGTGCGACCCCGCCGGCGCGCGCGTCATCGCGCTGCAGCTCCCTGGGGAGAGCCTCGTCGGTGCGGTGCCGCTCGGGACGATCGGGAACCTCACGGCGCTGCGGACGCTGTCGCTCCGCCTCAATGCGCTGTCCGGCGGGATCCCGGCCGATATCGGGAGCTGCGCGGAGCTCAGGTACCTGTATCTTCAAGGCAACCGGCTCGATGGGCAGATACCGGAGGGGTTCTTCCAACTCCGGTTGCTGCAGCGGCTCGACCTCTCGAACAACCGCATCGCCGGCGGGGTCTCGCAGGACTTCAACAGGCTCCAGAGGCTCGCTACTCTGTACTTGGAGAACAACAGCTTGAATGGCACGCTGCCGTCCAACCTTGACCTCCCGAAGCTTCAACTCTTCAACGTGTCCAGAAACAACCTCACCGGCCCTGTTCCCAACTCGCTCGCCGGGATGCCAGCCAGCTCCTTTGATGGGACAGGGCTCTGTGGCGGCCCTCTAGCCCCGTGCCCAACCCCTCCGCCGCCGCCGACGTCTCCGTCACCGCCGTTCTCGCCGCCGCCTCCTCCGGCCGCTGCTAATGGTAGCAACAGCAGGAAGCTCTCCACTGGTGCGATCGCCGGCATTGCTGCGGGTGGTGCCGTGGCGTTCTTGGTTTTGATGGCCGCGATCTTCTTCCTCTGCTTTCGGTGTCAGAGGACAATGGCTGAAAAGTCCGCGGCGGCGGCGGCGGCGGCGGCCTACGGCGACCTGGACGCTTCTCCTGAGTCGGTCACCGTGGCGAGCACGGACAAGAAGAACGCCACGAGGCGGTCCTCGCAGGCCACGCCGGCCGGCAACGCCAAGAAGCTGGTGTTCTTGGGAGCGGCGCCGGACGCGGCGTACGATCTGGAGTCCCTTCTGCACGCGTCGGCGGAGGAGATCGGGAAGGGGTGGCTGGGCACGACGTACCGCGCCACGCTCGAGGGCGGCGCCGCCACCGTGGCCGTCAAGCGGCTCAGGGTGGCGCCCATCCCGGAGCGGGAGTTCCGGGACAAGGTGACCGCGCTGGGCGCGCTCCGGCACGACAACTTAGTGCCGCTCCGCGCCTACTTCTACAGCCGGGAGGAGAACCTCATCGTGTACGACTTCGTGGGCGCCAGCAGCCTCTGCTCCCTCCTCCACGGCAGCAGCAGCGGCGCCGGCGCGAGCCCCGCGCGGCTCGACTTCGCCGCGCGGGCGCGCATCGCGCTGGCTGCCGCGAGCGGCGTCGCGTTCGTCCACGGCGCCGGCGCCCGCTCGTGCCACGGCAACATCAAGTCGACCAACGTCCTCGTCACCGACGCGCGCGACGGCGCCTACGTGACGGACCACGGCATCCTCCAGCTCGTCGGCGCGCACGTGCCCCTCAAGCGCGTCACCGGGTACCGCGCCCCGGAGGTAACCGACCCGCGCAGGGCGTCGCAGGAGACGGACGTGTACAGCTTCGGCGTGCTGCTCCTCGAGCTGCTGACGGGGAAACCGCCCGTGAACTCGGTGCCGGGGAGCACCGATGGCGTGGACCTGCCGCTGTGGGTGCGCACGGTGGTCCAGGAGGAGTGGACGTCCGAGGTGTTCGACGCCAGCATCGCGATCGAGGAGCGCGTGGAGGAGGAGATGATGCGGCTGCTGCAGCTCGCCATGGACTGCACCGACGATCGGCCCGACCGGCGGCCTCGGATGGGCGAGGTGGTGGCGAGGATCGAGCTCATTGTCGAGAGCGCGCTCCTGAAGACTGACGCGGATGACGACTTCCACAGTATTTCTCCATGACCTGCCAGCGTGATCGTTCTTAGCGATTCATTCTTCTCTGTGGTTATTTTCAAATCTTTGGGTGCACTGCACATAGGGCGGTGATGTTAATCTTCAACATGTTCATAGCATTTGCCATTCTTCATTACAGTATTTCTCTGTGAAGGCATGCTACAGTGTCCTGTCCTGTGGAGTTCCTGCGTTCTAAACAGGGACTAATCGATACTTGGACGTCTATTGAATGTTAGCTGCAGCAACGGTCCGTGTCCCAACACTTTGGAGTCGGCTGCAAAATTGTGGCTTGTGGCGGTTTCTGCTATCTTGACACGGTCAGTCAGAGAGTCAGCCATCTCATTGCTGTTGTTGAGCAGTGTAGGCGTCCTGACGTCTTGAAGGCTTCAAACCTCTGACCTGGCTCAGACGACTGTCGCTATCCTGGGAACGGGAAAGCTGGTCGAACAAGAGGTCGGCAGGGCGAGGAGACAACGGTTACAGCTTGCTGGTAAACGATTTGAGTTTGATGGTGCGGAAGAGAGGAGAAAATTGTAATCATAGTACGCGGACACGCTCCGGAAGCTGAAGACGACGACGATGGTGGTGCAGGCGGCTGTACCTCCGGGATACAAAAGTCAGAAGGGCAATACGGTCACATCATAACAAAATACATGTATTTTAGTTGAGAAAAGTGATTAAAAAGATCAAATGTCATGTATATAAAAAGTGTCAACGTTTCAAGGGTTGTTTTAGCGAAGTCAATGTTTAGAGTCCTGTAATAACGAAGCACGTTGTTTCGTGTCTTATAATTGCAATTTTGTCGGAGACTGGCATCGTTGCCCACGTATGTCGTTACGTCCATCGAGTGAGAACGGAATGGGGTGGACGGTTCGTCCTGATCCCAGCTCTGAACTTTGAACATCTGAAAAAAACTGAACAAACTCTGAACTTCGGAGAATTTCTGATTGACGTGGTCCAAGATTCGATGCAGGTACAGCATTAAGCCTTTTCAGAACTCAGATACAGAGCTTCATATGGGGTTGCTTGCAGACGCTGGACCTTTCCATGGAAAATATGCTGAATATTTTTTGGTTTTTAAAAAGAGGGACTGTCTACCCATTGTTTGGTCATTTCAAAGACCATCAACAACCGACTGTTCACGGGCCTGGAAACAACCGAAAACAAAGGAAAAAGAAATCAACTGTTTTGTAGATGTATCAGAATACGATTTTTAGACCGTGAGATTATAATCTGACAGCTTTTATACTTCGTTGTTTGCCATTATGGGCCATAGCACAACTAATAATAGATTTTGGCCCACATGGGTGCTCTAGAAGCACGAACATACAAGCGCAACTTCTGTACTATGTGAAAAATACAGCTGCAGAAAAATAATTTGGAAGAAAAAATGTGTTACAAAAGTAAGGACAAATTAATTTTAAAAATGTCATAAAAATCATCACCACTATTTATTATGCCTGTCATGGCTCTATTTTTTTAAAGACCACAACACTAATTAGGAAGCAACAAAAATAAAAACGGCATTGTGATCATATAAAAGAACAAGCTGCTAATTGGAGGTTCAATTATAAAAATAAAAAAAACAAGTTGTCATCTAGAGATCATAAACACCCCTAAACACAACAACGGTACAAAAAGTTGGCAACCCGGTGATAAATTATAAAAAAGCCACTAAATAACAACAATAAAACAAAACAAGCTACCAAGCCCCTTATGTCAATCGACATGTATATTACAATCATTAATTAGTATGCTTGTTGCAACCTAGTTAGGAAAAAACAAAAACACAAACTCCATCACTATGATCATAAAACATAACAGACTGACAACTGGGGGCAAATAGATAGCATGTTCGTTTCGTCGTAAACGATCGTGGATTATTTACTGCTGGCTAGTTTGGTGTGAGAGAAAAACACTGTTCCAGATTATAATCCACGATCGTATACGAGCAAACGAACAGGCAAAGAAACCAACTCTTTTTTTTGAATAAAATAGAAACCAACTCTTGGCTGTTGTACTTTGTCGTTCCTTTTGTTGTTTGCCATTGTGGGCCATAGCACATGAGAGAAGCAACTAATAGTTGATTTTGGCCCCCATGGGTACTCTAGAAGTACGAACCCTCGTACAAGCGTGACTTCTTTACTGTGTAAAAAATGCAGTTGCAGAAAAAATAAATTGAAAGAAAAAATGTGTCTGAAAAGTAAAGACAAATTAATTTAAAAATGTCCAAAAAATCATTACCACTATTTATTATGCCTGTCATGGCTCTATTTCTTTTAAAGACCACGACTCTAATACAAACGGCATTGCGGTCATATGAAAGAACAAGCTGCTAACCGGAGGTTCAAATATAAAAGTAAAAAAACAAGTTGGCATCTACTCCCTCCGTCCCTCAATAGAGGTCGTTGTAGGAAGTGTAGCAGACACATTAAGGTTAAGGATAAAAGACCATAGTAACCTTCAGCCTGTCAGTCGAGAACGTACAACTGTCCCTTGCAGTCCACACGCAGTCGACCACATCCGATGCGACGCCCGCGCACATTCCTCCCATCACTGACCTGTTCGATCCCATCACCGCGGCCCATCTCGACGACGTGCTTCGGGCTCCCATCGCAGCCGCAGGTGCCCGTGTTGGGACCGCCGCCGCCGCCGCCGTCGCCTCCGTCTGCAACCTCGACGGCACGCTTCGGGCTAACATCGTGGCCGTCGCTCCCTATCTTAGGGGAGCATGTCTGAAAGGTCCTTGTTTGGTTTTGATAATTGAGTGACAACATAGGTGGACTAATATGTGTTTGAGTGAGATACACAGGTGATTAGTCCACAGGTATATGTGTACGAGCAATACATGCCATGAAGGTGAAATGACTTGGATTTGTTGCAAAGCTCACACATGTGATGAAGGAGCTCATTGCAAATGAGACATGACATGGAGTCATGTGATCAAGGTGGAGAAGATCAAGACAAGACTTGGCTCGACGGACCAGTTGCAAGTGTGAAGGGCAAGTTGAGTGATGACTTGGTGCCGATGGGCCGAGGCAACGATGAAGAGCAAGTGAAGTCAAGATCGATGAACCAATACGGTCACGTGATGATATGAAGTGGATGATATCATTTGGTGATTGGTTGGTGCATGTGTTGCATCGACATCAAAGGAGATGGAATGGAATGCGCAAGGTAAAGGTATAACCTAGGGTATTTCACTTCATCGGTCATAGACGTGTAGAGAAGTTGATGGCCGGGTTTAGGATAGATGGCCGTACTATCAAGAGGAGCAAACTTGATTGCATATCAGTCATCTAGTGCCACTCAAGTGATCTAACTTTGCATCGTTGTTAGGATCGAGTGGCGTGACAAGTTGAGTGACTAATCCTTTGAAAAATATTTGTGAAAATGCTAACACACTTGCACTTAGTGGTGTACACTTGGTGGTGTTGGTACATTTGCAAGGGTGTTGAAAATGGAGAAGAAATAACACATAAAATGGTGATTTTAGTGGGGCTATTCTCAGCAAGCAATTCTCCTTTGTCAACAAGAAATTCTTGTTGATGAATAGTGGAAGGGGACATGCTTGCATGCGTGTCAGCTCAGTGAGAGAGAATTGAGCTCAACTGGCAATTCTCCTTTCTCAGTAAGAATTTCTTGTTGAATTTTTGTGTGTGAGAGAGAGTGACCAAACGCACTGGCCACCGCATCCGGCCGTTGACGAATAGAGTTGGAGTAGCAGCTAGACGCGATCGGACTCTGTGTAGGGGCACGTCTGGTCGATGGCCTCAGTGTCCGGTCATGTGTTCCAGAGGACGCGTGGCTCGGCTTGGCGATCGGACTCTGGAGGTGTTCCTCGACCGGACTCTGTTGGAACACTGTTCACAACGTCCGGTCATGTCTTGGTGTCACTCGGGTTTTCAACAGAAAAGGTCCTAACTCCGGGGTGAGTTCGGTCACATCTGATCGGGCGCGTCCGATCATGTTTTGACATCTCTAGATCATCTCTGGACTTTGACCGAACGCTGACTCATGGTGAGTTCGGTCGTCCAAAGAGTGAGTCCGGTCGAGTGACTAACAGAGCGCGCGGATGAGTTAGCCGTTGGCGGCAACGACTAGTTTCAAACGCGGGGACGCATAGCAGCCTTGGTGTGACCGAACGCTAGCGACCTGCGCGTCCGACCAGTAGTAAAGTCATGTCCGGTCAGCGCGTTTTCAACGCAGTGAAGGGGTAACGGCTCTATTTGTTCGTGGGGTTATAAATAGAGCCATTAGCCGGCCTTGGGCTGTTTGCTGAGCACACTAGATCCTTGGTGGCTTGTGTGGTGGTGCTTTGGAGCCCTCTAATTCACTCTTGCTTGATAGTGTTCATCCGATTGAGTGAGTGAGCGATTCTAGTGCGACTGCATCGTGAGGTTGCATCGAGTGACACTAGGTAATCGTGTTGCATGCCGGTGGTGCTTCTTACTCTTTGAGGTTGCCACCTCCTAGATGGCTTGGTGGCTTGTCACTCTGTTGAAGCATGCGAGAAGATTGTGTGGTGCTCCAATGGAGTTGTGAGGGGATTGTGCTCACCCTGCAGGGATCGTGAAGAGCAACTCTAGTAGAGCGTGTCATTGATACCCTCACTTTTAGGGTAGGTTCTTGCGGTGCCCAACATGTGGGCTAGGTGGGTGATGCCAATTAGCTGCCGAACCACCAAGTGAGCAGTTGACACAATGGGGACTATCGTGTTGGCAAGCACGTGAACCTCGAGAGAAAAATCACCGTGTCATCCTTGTCTTTCCGTTGGTTTGCATCCCCATTACACAAGCTTGTATTTACTTTCATATACATTGCGCTTGTGTAGTTGCTCTTGTAATTAGTTTGCTTGTGCAGCTTTCTAGTTACCTTCTTGCTTGTGTAGCATAGAAGTAGCTCCCTTGCGTGGCTAATTTGGTTTTAGTAACCTTGTTAGTCACATTGCTTAGTTTGTGTGGCTAAATAATTTGCGCTCTCTAATTTGGCATTAGTTGCCTTATTAT